ATGGTGGTGCATGCCTGTAGTCCCAGCTACTCAGGAGGCTGAGGCAGGAGGATCGCTTGAGCCCAGGAGTTTGAGGTTGCTGTGAGCGAGGCTGACGCCACGGCACTCACTCTAGCCAGGGCAAAAGAGTGAAAAAAAAAAAGAATCACCAGGGAAGCTTGTTAAAAGGTGGATTCCAGAGCCACACTGCCAAGGGGCCTTAGAATCCAGCACCCTGGGTGATTCTGATTGACTTAAATACTCAGGCACAATGGGAATAACTTAAAACAATAAGACCAGTTGGGAGGGTACTGCAGTAGCTCTGGAGAGAGCTTATCTGAACTAGATAGAATTAGGCTTCCCCTGCCTACTCTGGTCACTCTGCCTACCTTGGCCTGTCTCACATCTAAGGACTTAGGCCTCTTCTTCCCCAGGGAGGACCAGCAGAAGCCCATGAAATGCAGCTCCACCCAGAACCAGAGACCAAAGAGAGTAGCAGACTTTATTTAGAGACAGAGCCTTGCTCTGTTGCCTGTTGGGCTAGAGTGCCATGGCGTCAGCCAGCCTACCTCACAGCAACCTCAAACTCCTGGGCTCAAGCGATCCTCTGGCCTCTGCCTCCCAGAGCGCTAGGATTACAGGCGTGAGCCACCACGCCCAGCCTTAGTAGGTATTTAGAAGGTGGAATAGGCAAGACTTGGAGACTGAGTGGATAGGGAGTGTGTGAAGAAGAGGAGGGAATAAAAATGTCCCCTGGCTTTCTGGCTTGGGGCAGTTGTTGTAAAGGTGTACCATTCAGTTTAAGAGCAACAGGTCAGGAAGAAGGGCAGATGGGGAAGGTAAAGTGAGGAGTTTTAGTTGAGATTTGCTGAGTTTGAGGTGCCTCTGGGACACCCAAGTGGAGATATTCAGAAGTCAGTTGGTTATACAGGTTGGAAGCTCAGAAGAAAGATCTGGACTAGAACTATAGATTTGAGAATCATTAGTAAATAGATGGTAATAGAGGTGCGTGAAATCCCAGGAGAGGGAATATAGCAACAAAAGAAAGGGTCTAGAGCTAAACCCTAATGAACGGTTAAGGGAAGGACTGAGGAAGAAAAAATTGCAGAGAGAACTAAGGACAGGCCAGAGGTGAGAGGAAAATCTATGTCCTGCAAAGATCCAGAGAGTTCAAGAGGAGTGACAAGCCGAGAAGCACGCTGGATTCAGCAAAGAAGTCTGTGTGACCTTGTGGAGAGCAGTTTCGGTGGTGCTATGGGGACAGAGCAGATTGCAGTGGATTGAGGAGTGAGTGGGAGGGGAGGAGGTGGAGGCAGCTGGCATGGACATTTTTTTCAAGCTGTTTGGCCAAGAATGGAGAGAGATATGATGGCAACTTAATAGTCTTTTTTTTTATGCTAATGAAGAAGTGGAAGAAAATGCAGGTACAGAAGCAATAATAAAGCCCACGGACAGGAGCGTGATGAGATCCACTGCACGGATTTCAGCATTTTTCTTCGGACAGGAGGGACCTACTTCTATTTTTTTAACTGGATGGAAGGAGGAAGGGATTAGTTGGTTTGGAAGCTTGATGTTTGGTATTTCTTGCTGATGGATTCTGTTTCTTCTTGTAAGTTGAAAGAAGGCCATGAGTAAGGAGGTCGTTGAATGAATAAATGAACATTTTTCCTCAGCTAGTCAAAGTCTAGGCTTACCAGCAAGAAGTAGTCACAGCACTTGAGGCAAGAGCCCGGTGGGAAGCCAGTTGAGGGTGAATCTTTAAAGGATGAGGCTGACAGGAAGTGTGATGTCCCTCTAACCATGCGGAGGGCTGCGTTTGGTCCACTGAACAAGAGGGTTTAATCCAGAACCTGATGCTGGGGCTTTGATTTAGGCTCCCTCTTCCTCATCTAGTCAGTCTGCCGTTTCTGGCCTATGGCTCACGTCGAAGGCCTGGAGCCTCCTCGTCCCCACTAAGGACCAGCTGGAAGCCATTTTGATTATGTTCCACCACAGAAGGAGGACAATACAGCCCCGCCCAGAGCCAGGCGCGCCCCCGCGGCAGGCCGGGTGCGCGTGTCCGCGCCTCTTCCCGCCGGCCTGGCGGGCGCCCAGCCCAGGCCGCGGTGGCGCGGGGCGGGGGGGTGGGGGTGGTTATGTAAGCGTTGCGCGCTCCCGCGAGGCTGCAGCCAATGGGAGGCCCCGGCGGCTCGTGCTCGCGCACGCAGGGTGGGGGGAGGGAGCGCACGACGTGCGCGCGCCCTCTCCCTCGTCCACCGCTGCCGCCTCCTTCTTCTGCCGCTCCTGGTGGTGCTTGTGTGCTCGTTCGGTGCGGACCTGGTACCTCTTTTGTGAAGCGGCAGCTGAGGAGACTCCGGCGCTCGCCATGGCCGACGAAAAGCCTAAGGTGAGTTCGGCGCCGGCCTCCTTGCCTGGCCTTGCTGCCGGGGTCACAGCGCGGGCCGGGGTCCGGCCCCAGCCACCGCGGGCTGCCCGCGCCTTCCCGGGCCCCCCATGGGGCGGCCGCGGCTCAGGCCCGGGCTCTCCGCGCCATTTTCCTCCCTCCCTCTCTTCCTCCCTCCCGCGCCGGAGGAGGCCCCGCCGCCCTCCCCCGCCCCCAGCGGCCTCCGAGTGCGCGCGGAGCGCGAGTTGGGCGGGCGGATCGCAGACGCCTGCGGGCCCGCCAGCCCGGAGCGGGGCTCCTCGGCCCTGCTGGCCGGGCGCGCGTGAAGAGGCGTTAGGGCGCGCGGGGTCCACATCCTCCGCGGACCCCGCGGCGGGTGTTGCCGCCTCCGCGGTGGCGGGGAGTCCCCTCAGCCTAGCGCCTCACTCCTCAGGGTGGGGGCCGCGGGCGTCTGGGGACCGCTGCCCCGGGCCGCGGCGGCCGATTGAGGGCTCGGGGCGAATCAATGGGCTGCTGATGGTTGGGAGCCGGGTGTCCGCGGGCCGTCGTTGGGCCTGGAGGTCGGGGATTCCCGGGGAGTATTTCCCACTTGAATGGCCTCAGGGGCCCCGGGGGGAGGGACGGCGGCTTTTGCCTGAGTGCCAACGAACCCCCTAACCTGCGAAGACTGGATTCGTGAAGTTGGAGGCACAGGTACGAGCAGAGAGACTTTGTAGGGCTTAACTTTTGGATACAGCTTATGAGGGAGACTTGCCGTAAGGACTAGGGGACACATCATCAGGACACATGAGACTTGCTTCTTTTGGTTTGTTTGGTGACATACCTCCCCCCTCCCCCTGCCTTTACTTTCTGAAATGACTTAGGGGCTACATAATTCCTTCCTTCTGCACTTGATTTTGGAGAACTTCGAGTTGGGTCGAAATCTACTAGGAAGACTTAGAACGCAACTGTGTATTCGATCCGTGACAACAAAGGGGAGGGGAGAATGAGAGCTCTTCACTGAAAATAAACAAAAATGAAGCTGTTGATAGAGGCAAACATGAATCGTGGTTCTGAGTTCTTACCACTGCTCCAGAGAGAATCAGAGGATATTCCTCAATTGAAGTTTTTTTAGAAAATGGGGATTGGGTTTAAGTCATTAATCTGAGTTCGGTAACTTTTTAACGAGAGTAGTAATGAGTTTTGAATTGCAAGCTCTAGATTTATTTTTCTCTTATTTTTATTTTCTTGCATTCTCATTCATCACTTGTACTTAAAGCGCTTTGGATAAAGAAAGGACGCTCTTTTTGGGGAGAAATATATTTTAGAAGTGATATAAAATAGGGCATTTTAGAAAATTCAGCTTCAAAGAGAACGTTGTAATAAATTGAGTGGGACCTATCTTTAAAAATCTGGCCGGGCATGGTGGCTCACGCCTGTAATCCTAGCACTTTGGGAAGGCTGAGGTGGGAGGATTGCTTTGAGGCAAGGAGTTGGAGGCCAGCCTGCCCAAAAGCTGGTCTCTACAAAAAAACAAAAAAAAATTAGCCAGGCGTGGCAACACACCTGTAATCTCAGCTACTCGGAGGTTGAAGTTCAAGGATAACTTGAACCCAGGAGTTTGAGGTTGCAGTGAGCTATGATCACTCCAGGCTGGGCAATGGAGGGAAGACTTGTCTGAAAGAAAAAAAAATATTGCTAGGATAGTATTGCACATAGTCTTTTCTGTTTCTGTGACAGCTATCTAATACTGTTACTGCAGGATTTCTCATCTTTCAGATTGATTTCAGCAGCTGAAAACAGCTGTATACTGTTTTATCATACAGAATGAGAAACCTGTTGATTTCTGAAGCAACTTGGACTGTTGCTTTAAAGGGTGTTTTTTTTTTTATCACTTTTTCCAAATTATATTTTTATTTTTCTTTCAACAGGAAGGAGTCAAGACTGAGAATAACGATCACATTAATTTGAAGGTGGCGGGACAGGATGGCTCTGTGGTGCAGTTTAAGATTAAGAGGCATACACCACTTAGTAAACTAATGAAAGCCTATTGTGAACGACAGGTGAGGAATTGATATGTGCGGCGACTGAATAAAACTATTTTTAAAAAATCTTATTTTCTTGACAGGAAACTAGCACAATATTACAATGACTATTTTTGGTAGGATGAATGTGCACCTATACTTGGCATATAAGTTTTATCATTACTTGGTGTGTTGATTCCTTATGAGAACCCTTAGTATGGGGTTTGCTTAGTATTACATATGATTCTAGACCTGTGCCACAAATGCATCAAATTATATTTGCAACACTTGTTTTTTTCCCCAAGGGAATGTAAGTTTATGCTTACAAGAAAATGAGTGAACTTGGTAAAATTTCTCGTCAGATAAAATTTCTCGTCAGATTCTTTTTTTATTCATTTAAAATTTTTCTTGTATCAGAGCATTTGAGTATTTTAACCAATTTGGAAGTAAAATTAAATGTAAGTTTAAGGACATTGCAATTTTCCTGAAGTGTGTACATTCTGATATTTGGTTTTTTACACTAATAGTGGAGGTCAGAAAAATTTAACCCCACTCAGCCAAACATAAATATTGCTATATTATAGGACATTTGCATTTTGTTCAGAAAAATAGTGTATAGACATCAAGAAGAGGAAGTAGAAAATTCTGCTCTCTTGATTTGAACAGATGTTGGGAGGTAAATGCAAGCTTTTATTAAGAAAGGGAGCTGCTTTTTGTGATGTTGGATCTGTAACAAGACAAAAGGGCAGCTGTAAAGATGACTTTACAAGTAAAACAAAAACTGGTACCTAGATCAGTTAAAACAACAATAACCTAGCAGCAGAAGTATTTTTCTTATTCTACCCTGAATGTATAATATATAAAAGTTGAGGAAATCATTTGTTTAGGCTAGAAGAACTTATCTCCATTGGTAAATTGTCCTGAAATAGGCTCAAATTGAACAAGGTTTAAACCTATGTAAGTTGGAAAATTGAATTTGAGTTGTTACATGTGTTTTCTACATGACACCTAAGGATGTTTGAAAGAAATAGTAAAGTTATAAATTTCTCTTTGAGAGTTTGAAGCTTTATTTTATGCCTAATTTATTTCTAACATAGTATCAGAATACAGTGCTCGTGATTCTTTTTTCTTCATACGTAAACCTTAACAATTCCTTATGAAGACACTGCCTTTAATATACTCTTATTTGAAGCATTTGGTGAAATCCCCCTAAGACTTAGTAAATACAAACTTTTAAATTGTGCTAAAAAATTTGTGTATGGGCATCTTCCACATGTGAACACCAGTGCCCCTTCTTAAAAGGTAGTCATTTTGTAGAACTTAATTTAGCAAAACCTCATAATAAGTGGAAACTCATGCTTCAGTTTGGTGGTCTTGAACAATATTCTCTGCATCTTATTTGACTTTTCTATAGTTACTACAAAATTTTAGCTTTTAAATGGTCATATTTTTCAACACTTATTATGAAAGCTTTCAAACATGGAACAAAGTGGAAAGAATTTTACAGTGAATACCCGTATGCCTACCACCTAGATTCAACCATTTACATTTTATTATACATATCTGTTGATATCCCTTATCCATCCTAAATTTTTTTTTTTTTTTTTTAAGACTTCCCATGTTACTGGTAAAGGTCCCAAAGGAGCTTTTTATTCATCTGCTATTTACCAGATGCCTACCACGTGCTGGGGGATTATACTAGGTGCCAGAAAAACAACACATAGCATATCCTCTGTATTCCAGGTTATCTTTAGAGGAGATTTTCCTATGAGGTTGAGAGTTACCAGGTCAGTCAAATGTTTGCATTTTCCTGCTGTGTTAAAATCAATTTAGTGTATTATCCAGGGTAAATAAAGTTTTCCTTGAATTTTCCTAATTATTAGGTTTAAGATTGGGATTATATTTGACTAAGCTTGTTAGGGTCACTCTTTAATTTGGACTAGAGAAAACAGAAGCACTGATAGTCTGTAAAAAAATTAAATTCTACTTACATGTATGTTCGTACATAAATAGGATTTGAAGATCAGATATAGGAAGAGCTTGGAAAGATACTCCCATTTCCCTTTTAAATTGGGAATTGAGAGTTCAGAGTAACAAGATCCCTGTTTGCTTTTCAAATGATTTTTCTCAATCTAAGGAAGAGGGAATTCAAGTGTCATAATTGAACTGTGATTGCCTGCTTCTTAAGAGTTGGTACAGGCTATCAAAAGACTAACATATTTATCTAATCTAATTTTCATAGTTATGCGGGGGGGTGCAGTTGAAAATTCCTGACCAAGGATTTCCTGTCAAGATTAATTGAATGTACATATTTATTTTCTGATGCACTTGGCGTCGTATCTCGGGGGGTGTTCCAGTGGACTGAGCATGTAAAAGAGGACTCTTGATTTTTATCCCTAGAAATCTGTTTTTTCTCTGGTATCCCCCCTCATAAATGGTGCCATTCTACATCCAGTTATTGAATTCAAAACCTTGGGAGTCATCCTTGATGCTCTTATAACTCATAAAATCTGTCAGTAAATTTTGTTCCCTACTTAAATCTGTGATGTCCAATACTGCTGAACCAGACATTCACGTATCCTGCAACCGTTTTATTCTGGTCTTGTTCAGCTACTATCTCAGAACCTTGTCTAACTCTACGCTATCTTAATTTGAATTGCCCCTGTTCCCAGTTCCTATGATTCAGTCCTCTTACTTTTTTTTTTTTTGCTTTATGAGGATAGGGACTTTTTCATTGTTTTCTAGAGCCTATACCAGTACTCTGTACATAGAACATGTTCAGTAAATGCTTGTACAATGATAGAGAACATTCAAACTAATAACTCCAGAGGTTGATTTGAAAATAAGTTTTTCTATTATGTGAAGTAGAGTTTGCCACTTAGCCTTCTGCTAACTGAGAGCATGCTGTTTCATTCTGGTGTGAATTTACCCCAACAGATTATATCATGGAGTGTCAGGTGGTTTCAGAGAGTAGAGTCACTGATTTAGTCTAATTCATTTTTGTAAACTGGAGAAACAGGGACCCAAAGAGATCTCACGTAACTCTCCCAGGGCATAGCTAGCTAAGGGAGAGATTGATAGAGAACGGGAGTTCAAATAAATACTGGCTTATGGAATCTTAAAGGCAAGTTTTCTTTAGACTTGTATTCTAGCGAATACAGAAGTGAAGGTTTAAGGAGCTTTTATTGATAAGGAAAAACATAAGCAGAAGTTGAATTATCCAAAAAGACAAAGCTGTAGGAAATTGGTGACTATAAGGGGCTTAATAGGAATATATTTCAGGTGGGGGCATTCAGAATTCTCAGTGTATCTTTTCTAGTCGTTCTGTGCACATTTCTATGCTCCAAAATACAGGTGGCAATAAAGAAATACAATTTGCTTATATTCTATAATTCTGACCCTGCCTCCCCGCCCCCAACCGCCCACCTCCCACCTGCCTTTGCATGGCCACACCGTGGACCTTACCAGTGGATGTAGCGAAGAAAACCCAGCATACAGAAGGTGCTTAGTGTTTGGTTGAAGTAAGGAGTCTTCAATGGAGTGTTTGCAAATATATAATACTTAGCAATAAATGGCTTGGCATTGAATTCTTGGTTGCTTTCTGCAGTTACAAATTAAGTTTGAATGTCATTGTGAACAACGAATTAAGGTTACGAGTATCACCTGCCTGGTGGCATATTTGTATTCCTCAAGATAAGGCATAGTGTGAAAGTGGTATGTGTCAAACACTGGACTAGCATTTTAAAGAAAGCAATATGGTCTTCCTTGTATTTATGATGTGAATAGTTTTAAACACAGATTGAGGGAATCCTTGTTAAATAAAGGAATACAGGTCTTATACAAGTGTTTGTTGAATACTTTGTTTGAATATTTTTAGTCCTGGGAACTCAATTTAATTTTCTCTTACATATCAATTGATATTTAAGGGAGTTTCTGTAACAATTATAGTTTGTAATTTGGACGTGATACAGGAGTGAATTTTTATTAGATGTTTCCTAGACAGCTACTTTTTTAGTTAATTTATTCACAACATAAGTCAAAAGATACTTTATTTTCCTATCTTGTCTTCCTTTGGCTGTTGTTACCAATAGCTTTGCTTCTATGCTTTTCTCCCTCTTTCCTCACCCCTTTGTCAGGTAAGTGATGCTTGATAAGTAAAACACTGCAGTCAGTTTTGCAGAAGGGCCATGTTTAGGCTGATTTGTCCCCTTCCTGCATGCATATAAAAATATCTTGACACTAAACTCTCATGCAGTTTTTAAATTTCCTTTTAATAAAACTTCTTCCCAGCTTCTGGCTGGGTGAAGTGGCTCACGCCTGTAATCCTAGCACTCTGGGAGGCCGAGGCGGGAGGATCATTTGAGTTCAGGAGTTTGAGACCAGCCTGAGCAAGAGCGAGACCCCGTCTCTACTAAAGAAATAGAAAGAAATTAGCTGGACA